TCCCCTTTCTTGACGCCGGGATACGCTACCAGTATCACGGTAGACATATGCGAAAGGCTGAACCCCTATTTCGCGGAACTTGCCGCATCAACGGCCACACTTTTTACCACATGGTCTGCGGAGATGAGAACACAGCTGAATGTGCAGGTCGAGGGGAAACTAATACCGACCACGAACTAACCCAAGATTCTTGGGGTCAGGTTCGACAGTATGTTCAAGTCGTCCGCGCAAGCCACAGCTATCTGTTATAAGATGAAAAGTAGGAACAAGGTCCTCAAGGCGCTAGCCGGCAGCAATTGGAGTGCGGACAAAGAAACCTTGTTGACCTCTTATAACGCGATAGGTCAGTCTGTGGTCAGCTATGCGGCTCCAGTGTGGTCTGCGAATACTAGTGCTATGCAGTGGAAGCATATCCAGACCTGCCAGAACGCTGCCCTGAGAACTGCGACAGGGTGCCTTCTCATGACACCACTGGACTATTTACATGAGGAGGCGAAAGTCCTTCCTTACGTCAGCATAATCATATGCTTTCGTTGCAGTACCTGCTTGGGTGTTACCGTGAGAGTCATCCCTACCATCATATGGTGGATAAACCTCACCCACCAAGCGAAACAGGAAGGACATAGATGATCTGAGTGGCATTCATACCGATGCAGTCGCGGATGCTATTAGCAATTATAAAGTGAATGCCGTCCACCCCCCATCCATTGCAGCTGAAGAACGTCAGCTGCCTAGACAAACCAGGGTAGTTTTGGCGCAATTACGTTCAGGATGGTGTAGTCGTCTCAATTCGTATTAGGCACGAAGACGTGCATGACGCCTGCTCGGCGTGCGATACAGGCCCGCAAAATACGCTGCACCTCTTTAATTGCACAGCCAAACCTACCCAACTCACTCCAGAAGATCTCTGGCTACAGTCGTAGCCGAATTTCTAAACCTGGAGCTGGAACCAGATTAGCAGAACGCAAACACATGCATGTACTACTGTTACAACAACAACAACAACCACGGTAACGAGCGATGGTACGAGACACAAAAATTTATTCACATTTAAATGGTGGAGTGCTCTTGTGGTTTCCCAGCCGAAAATAAAAAATCACACTATCACGGTTTAATTCCATCACGAATAACTTTTTCTCTGGAAAATTCCCACCAAAATGCTTTTGTTCGCTTGTAAACAATATAAGCTGTCACTGGAATATTTGGTTGAAGTTGGTTGCAGTTTTTTTATTTCACCCTGTATTTGTTGATAATTGTGAAATTGTTTTCGTATGTCATTTTTTCAAAAAAATCCCATGCAATTTCAAAGGGAATAAAAGTTACCATGTCAATCATGGTACAATGATATCAAGGAAGGGCTATGATACCATATGATTTTAATTTTTTTATTTTCTTGGCTTAATATGTCATCTTTATTTGTTTATGTATGTGTTTTCTTTTCAATAACAAAAAAATTGTTCAGAAAACATTCAAATTCGGATGTTATCAAAATGTTTATTTCATCGTATGCATTGACAAAATCTAGAGTTTTTGTAGCGAAATAATCATTTAGAGATATATAGTACATGATTTTGAAAAGAAGTGTTGACCTTTCATTCAGTTATCGCGTTTTTCAATTATTTATTCAAAATAAATGCAACAAGTTGTTTGTTTTTTAGTGTTTTGATATTAATACTGACATTACAAGCCAAACAGGTAGACCTCTATACTTGTATTTTTTTCAAAGTTGACCTACCTTCTCTTAATTGTACCATGATGTCAATGAAGTCCTGCGCAGAAAATCCCAACGCAAAAATCTGAGGGAACTAATGATGACCTTTCCGAAACTTGACTATTTTGACACAATAAAATAACATCAGAATCCCAACAAATTAACCTCAAAACTCTCCTTATTTAGGTACTTAAAAAAGTCAAATAATTTCGGTAATCGCATTAATTAAAAAAACTGAGTCATTAATTAAAATTTTTTTTAGTTTAATACTATCATTAGTAGATTACTGTTGTTGTACTTAATAATAACAATAATATAAACGAATAAATTGTAGACGTATCTAAATAAATTTAAATAACAGTATTCGAAATACAATAAATAATAATATAAACAACAAAACTGACTTTAACTATGTGACGTTGCCAAGTACCAGGTAAGTCGATTATTCTATTCTAGATCCCAAAGTTAGGAAGGTTGTTCCCAGCAAAAAATTTCATTATCTAATAAGTTCAAGAAAGTAGTCGTTATCTTTATAGAGCTTTAGATTTGAATTAATATTTAATTTCATACTTCATTATACCCTACACCACAAGGTGGTCAGGGTATTATGTCTTTGTGCATTTGTTTGTAACAGGCAAAAGGAAACGAGATAGACCCATAGTTCCCTTTGATGATCTGCATAGAATCACATTCGATTTCGATTGTCGATTTATGCATGTCCGTCCGTCCGTCTGTCCATGTATTTTTGTAAACAAAGTACAGTTCGTATTTATTGCCCGATCCAGATGAAATTTTGCACAAATCATTTGTTTGGCCCAAAGACGAACCCTATTGAAATTGGAGATAAACGGTAAAAATTTAGATATAGCTCCCATATATATCTTCGTCCGATTTGCATTTTATTGTGCACCAAATTTTGCACATACAACCAAATTAGGCCTGAAAATAAGAATGCCAAATTTGATCGAAATCGGTTCAGATATAGCTATAGCTCCAATATTTATTGTTCACCCGATTTGTTATTTTAGTCCTCCGCAGCCGTAATTTCACTCTGTAACAACAATATTTGGGGAAATATATCAAAATACAACTCAGAAATATCTTTGCTAAATTTTATCGAGATCGGTTCGGATTTGTATATATCTTCCATATATAACTTCGTCCGAATTATCTTTTATTGTGCACCAAACGACTAATATTTGCCCAAATGGGATGGAATTTGGCACATACGACCGAATTTAGTCTAGAAGCTATTATGCCAAATTTGGTGAAGATCGGTTCAGATATAGATATAGCTCCCATATATACTGTTAATCCGATATGTTGTATTTTTTTTACCCACAGCCATAATATGCACTCCGTAAAAACGATATTCAGGAAAATATATCAAATGCAGCTCAGAAATATCTTTGCCAAATTTTATCGAGATCGGTTCAGATTTGGATATAGATCCCATATATATCTTTATCTGATTTCAAATTAATGTTGCACCAAATGGGCAATACAAGTCCGAATTTAAAAGAAACAAATGCTTCGGCATATTTAGTCCTTTGAACTTCAAATTATCATTATAATCATAGCATCTATGATTGAATTCTCCCATAAAAACTTTTAATTGTTATGTGGAGCTCTACTAAATTAGCAAAGTGGTGTAGGGTATCATAAAGTCGGCCTCGCCCGACTTTAAGACTTTCTTTACTGGTTTTTGTTTTGTTATTTATTTGCATGATTTTGGACTTGACCTCATGATCTACTGATTTTTAGTTGGGCACACCACGCACACAGTCACTGCTGCCAATATAAATTGTTGTTTAATAGCTAGCATGGTAGAAGAATGTATGTGGTAGATTCATAAAAGCTTGGGAACATTTATATGTCAAACATTTTAAAATGTTTTGTCTGTTTTCTTATACGATGCAAATCGGAGGTTGTTATACAGGTTGAGATAAAAATAACTACAACAAAGTCAAACGCCATAATTTTTACATTTTTTTTTTAATTTTATTGAATGAAAGCAAAAAATGTCGGAAATAGCATCAAATTTTAGAATAAGTTTAGATTTGTTCGGATTGGTTACCTTTGGCACGAATTGTGGCCTTCAAACGGCTAATGAAACCGTCACACGCTGCCCGAATGTTGCTCTGCGGTATTGCTTGAGTTGATCGACACTTTGATTTATTTTTAGTCCCAAACTTGCTTTCAAAAATACTCCAGACACTACAGCTCACCGGATTGGTATCCGAAGATTTTGGTGGCCATTGTGCGGTGGAAATTAAGCGAGTAACCTCATTTTGTAACCATTCTTGACGCGTGCTGTGTGCGATGGTGTTGAGTCCTGTTGGAATGTTTGCGTACCCAAGGCTTTAATACACCCTCCTGAATATTTTCGCGATATTATTCGGCATTTATTCTAATACCACGGTTGATTAATACGAGCGAAGAGTGACCACCAGCTGTTATGGCGGCCCACACCATCACCATAACCGGCGCTTGAGTTCTGGTGGCCAACCGAAGGTGCACATTTTCAGCTGACCTCTTTGGCAAGTAAACACGATCATTTTGTTTGTTTACAAACTGCTTGACAACGAATGTTTTCTCATCGGAGAAAACCAAATTCGGCAGTTCACCACTTTTGGCCAAGCGATGCAACTATTTAGCTCTTTTGAGTCTATTTTCCTTCTGTTGCGGTGTAAGTTCTTGCACTTTCTGGAATTTCAATGGCTTTACGAGCTTTTTTTTCAATACTTGACGAATGGTATCACGGTAATGAACGATGGTACGAGACACAAAAGATTTATTCACATTTAAATAAATGCTCTAACGATAGCCACTTGTGGTTTTCCAGCCAAATATGAAGAAATCGCACTATCCATCACGAATAACTTTTTTTTCTGGAAAATACTCACCAAAAATGCTTTCGTATGCTTGTAAACAATATAATGAGCTGTCAATGGAATAATTTTAACAGCTGTCGCACGAGTGGCTTAGAAATGACAACTATCTAAAGTTGGTTAAAGTTTTTTCATCTCACCCTGTATGTGATGTTTTCCAAAAGAGAAAATACTTCCCACAAAAACGAGAAAATTACTTTCGGGCAATTTTTAAGAATGCGTTAATTATAAAAAATAAAGTAAAATTTTCTCTTTCGAGACGAGCACAAACAAACACATAAATCATAAAACATATGATCTTCGCCTTAACAAGGCAAAACTCAAGTAAAATTTGTTTTTTAATTTCCTTTTTTATTGCATTATTTCAAGGCCAGTGGTAAAGAAAACTATTCTCTTAATTTGCGATGTATTGAAATTTATTGTTCTCATTTTCTTTATTTTTATTGTATAGTAATCTAACTTTATTTATTAAAATACTAAACTTTGTATCTTTATTACCGAGGACAAAAATATATATTCAATTCACAATAAATATTCAATTACCACAATAAAGTTGTGATGAATTTCATCTTCTTCTCATTTTGTTCTATTGTTTTTGATGGATGTTTTGTAGTATCAACCTGCATTGACTTAGTTGCACTTAATGTTCTCGCTTATTCGGCTGCCTTATTTTCAACATTTCATTTAATGTTTACTCAATAATAATGTATTTATTCAATTATTTGTATTATAATTACTTGTAAAATTTCAATGCAAATATGGTTTTTATTCTTTTGTTTTTATTATCTTTTTTTTTTTTTTGTTAAATTGTAACAAAACTAATTTCTACATAAAAAAAATAATTTTAAAATTATGCATTTAACACAATACAATTTGTATGTATATGATTATAATGGAATGTAGTAACACGTTTTCATTGAAAGGAAACGTCATCTTTTGTAATAAGAAGCTGCAGAACTGTGGTGGTGGTGGGGGGTATGTAGTGGGAGTAGACAGATGTAGAAAAACGTGTATACAATGTTTGTTCTTGTCGTAAAGATAAAAAATTACTATTCGATTCAATTCGATTTTGGACACAACGCGCTATAGCTCTACGCAACACAAACATTTTCTTATTTACAAAACAAAATGGGGATGTTTTCAAATAGTTTTTTTTGTTTTTCATTTCAAATTATGTTTCGCATGAGCACATGTTCGCTGTTATTGTAAAGATATTAAAAAAGAATAAACTTAAGATTAATAAAATGAAACTAACAACTAAAAATACAAATAATGGACGGTATAAGAACTCAAAAAGTCTGTGTGTTGATTTTCCAAATTAAACCAAACTTTTGTATAATAATATAGAGATTTCGTTTTTTTTTTTTCGATTGTGACATAACATAATAAGAATCATAAAGAAAAACTGAAAAAGAAAAGTAAACAAATAAAGTTGCAAGCAAAAATTAAGTGTCGTTTTCTGCAAAATAATTGGCAGTGTCGTATAAAAAATCAGCATTTACGAAGACTTAGTTATGTTTATCATTTCATAATCAACGTTTTAAGGCCAGCTTTGTTGTTTAAGGTTTGTTTGTCATCGTCATTGTCGTCGTCGTCGTTACTGTTAAACGCACTTAGTAAAAGCCTTTGCTTGATAACAGTTTATGTTTAATGGACATCTTTAACGCTTTTCAGTTTCAAATTTGCATTCTCTGTTTGGATTGATGTTTTGTTTGTTTCTTCTAGACCTACTACGTTGACCACTCATCGACGTGGGGCATTTCAAACTATATGAACCATTCTTTTCGTTTGGTCACTTGATGGCCGGTGGTAGAATGTACAACAGCCTCATCTGGGTCGTCAGCGCCATCAGCTCCTTGATCTTCGTGTGTGAGGTAGTCACCTTTGTGTCGGTGCAAATAGCGGCCAATTAGGAAGATCATCAATATCAGCAATAGGAACAGAATGATGAGCAGAACTGAAATAGAAGATTGCAATAATTATAAAATATGATTAAACCTTTAAACATTTGAATTGATTTGAATAAAAGAGGAAACGGGTGGTCACGGTCTATGCACACATCTGTTTTGTCCTAAAAAAAAGCACTCACAGACCGTTAGGGCCGTGAAGTGTTTTTAGGTAAAATGAAGGATAATAACATAGCCGCCCCACTTGAGGAGAGCTGTGTCAAGCCATCGATCTATCTTTTAAGTACACATGAGTGTTAAGTATGAAAGTTAACCTAACTACAGGGTGAGATAAAAAAAACTGCAACCAACTTTAGACTGCTTTCATTTCTAAGCCACTCGTCCGACAGCTGTTAAAATGATTCCAGTGACAGCTCATTATATTGTTTACAAGCGAACAAAAGCATTTTGGTGAGAAGTTTCCAGAAAAAAAGTTATCCGTGATGGATTTCAAGCGTGATAGTGTGATCTCTTTATATTTTATATTATATTGAAATTCCAAAAAGTGCAGGAACTTACACCGCAACGGAAAGAAAACTGACTCAGAAGAGTTAAAGAGTTTCTTCGCTTGGCCGAAAGTGGTGAACGGTCGAATTTGCTTTTCTCTGATGAGAAAACATTCGTTGTCCAGCAGTTTGTAAACAAACGAAATGTTCGTGTTTACTTGCCAAAGAGGTTAGCTGAAAATGTGCACCTTCGGTTGGCTATTTCCGACATTTTTTGCTTTCATTCAATAAAATTTAAAAAAAAAATGTGAAAATTATGGCGTTTGACTTTGTTGCAGTTTTTTATCTCACCATGTTTCTCACTGACTATCCATGATTATAAAAGGGAACATGAATTTAATTTCTTGTCTCTCTCTCTCTATCCTACGCATTTTTTCAATACTCTGAAAGATTTAAATGGCTACCGAACGGATGGCTTTTATCCTGCGCACCATTCTTTTCCTGTATATCTTTTCATGGTGAACAAAGTAGCTGTACTAGTAGCCTATCCCAACCTATTTAGACGATTTGTGCAAATTTCATAACTAAAATATTTCCAAAGAGATTTACATTTGTTCATTGTTTAAAATTCCATCTATACAGGTTTACAAAAAAATCCATCCAATTTTTTTCTTTTTTAAATGACTATAAAACTCATGAATTTCTATGGCTGACAGTTATTCTTTCTAACGTTTCTCAGAGATTTTCAAGATTAATGCAATAGTCGTTGGTGTTACCTAAATCGTTTGGGAATCTATTATTGCTGGTCACATGATATAAATGAGAGACACAACAATTCACTTACTTGCCAACAATGCCGTATCAACTTCATTATATGCTTTACGCAGCTTCTCCTCATCGACTAGTGGTGGAGGTCTTGTTTCAATTTCAACTGGAGGATGGGTGACAGGCTCAACGCCACAGAAGTCTTCAGTAAGTTGAGCTAAAAACAGGAAATTAAATTTAAAAATTAAATCCATAGAAATATTTGCCAAAAACAATACTTACATCCCAAAGATTTGACATTTGGTGGTGGGTTCTGTTGGAACAATAATTTCAATGGATATATATCATCAAATTGCACACGTGATACACAGCCAACAAAGCCATCAGTCATAGAGAGATTTTTACCAATATACATATATTGTATATTATTGAATTGAGCATCGGCTGAAGCTTTGATATCGAAATGATATTCAACCGGTTCATAGTTGTCGACCTGCAGAACAACTGTGGAGCCGCTATTTTTTCGAGAAAATCGTACATCATGATATTGACCAAGTCCGAAATGTTTCTTGGGGAATATAATTTCTTGACGTTCAAAACCAAAATCGAAAACACATCGTAAATGTCCTGAAAGTACAAAAAATATATATTAATTTAGTTTATTTTTTAAATACAACACAAAAAATAGAACCCAAATGTCTCAACTCTATAGTTTATTATTTATACCACATAAAGAAAATGATCTTACCAGAATTAGAAATTTGTATGGTCAAATATTCGCCAGTAATATTCGATGAGAAGCCCAATAGGAAACCTTTGGGGATTGTTGTTGTGAAACCGACACGAATATTCTCGGCAATTGTCGAACGGAACGATTCTATGAACTCGTAACGTATAATCGAATTACTACGTAAATTAACACCAATTTCTGAAAAAAAAACATTAGATATTAGCATTAGATTTGGCGAAACCGAAATCCAGCCTTTTTATTAACATACCATCAGCACATATGGGACCCTTAAATGCACTCCAACGACAATCACAGTTATAACCGTCATAACGTTCAATACATGTACCATTATTTAGACAAGGACTAGATTCACAACGACCCACACATCCAGATGAAATACCATACATGCCTCGTTCGCCAAATTGTTTCAAATCAACCATTTTTCCATTAAGCAGTAGGGCACGAATACAACCGACATAGCCGTCGCGATATTCGGTGGTGGCACCAATCACCAAATCTGATGTCAAGTGAAGAGCACGTACCGGTCCTGGAGGCTCACGTACTTCGGCTTTTATTGAGCCATCAACTACTAAGCGTGCTTCTTTCCTGTAAACCAAAGACCGTGTTGTTAAATTAACTAAACCAAAAATATTTTCAATATTTTCCATACCTATTACGTTCCACACTGACTGTATGCCATTCATTGTCATTCAAATGATAACTTGTGGCAATATTAACTCCCAATGGTCCACTGCCTGCCTGATATTGGAATTGTAATTTATTGCCACCAGAAATGGTTAGTTTTATATAATCTGTTGGCCCGGTGGCATGGAAGATGACAGCATTTTCCACTGTAGTTTTGAACTCTAAGTAAATATCGCCCGAATGGCCCATATCAAATGGTGGCAAATTGATGGTGGCATCAGCTATGCGGAATGTTACCACATTACTAAACAAATCATCGCCTTCGCAACGCAATGGTCCCAATGTATAACGACCTTGTTTCTCATCCAGTGGGGTACCAGTATCGCCAAATTTAACAGCTCTTACAGGTAAGTACTCTTTCTCTCTAATATCACCACCATCTTCGGCCCATTCCAAGCTATTCGAATCACAGTTACACCATTTGGTGGGATCTTGACATTTACCCAAGATACCACATTCGCATTTGCGAGAACCAGGTAAAGCACCAGCCCAATAGTCCATTGGTTGATTGTGTCTGGATACCCACCAAGAGAAGGGACGGAAATTAGATACTTCAGCTAAAAATTTATAATAGTTAATTAAAAGGCGAAAACTTTTGCGCAATATATACTTACATGGAGAATTGAAAAGACGCGATGATCGACATGAATAACTCAAACGCTGCCAGCAGGTGTGAGAACGATTTAGCAAAGCTTCAATCTGTTGCATATCAGCATCGTAAAGGATATTTTGCTCAAAGGATCCAGGCTCTTGGAAGCCATCAACAGTGGTTGTGTGCTCCTGACTGTGACTCAATGTGGTAATGACACGGCCATCAGCTGTGAGAGTAAAAATTAAAGTTGTTGGTGAAGAATCAATTTTAAGCATAAAAGCTATTCTTAGGAAATTCTCTTTAATTTTGTGGTAAATGTTGGAAACTTAGAAAAGATCGACAGACTTTTTTCTTAATGACAAACTGAAAAAATTGGCTTGTCTTTTTTGTTATTCCGTTTATACATTTTAAGAATATTATATTAAGAATATAAAGGACATATGAGCGCAACATTAATTCAATATAAGTACACGCTTAAGGCTTAGTGAAGATTTTTCTGATAATTAATTCGAAATCATAAACTCCGATGAATTACATATTCATATAAGATTTCTGGTTAAGAGCAATATTTAAATATAACAAGTTGTGAAGAATCGCCGACTTGTTTCGCAAGTTATGGCAGATATAAATATTTTCACACCAGACCTTGGGTTAATAAAAATATTGTGATGTGTGCAATTTGAAGTGAACTGGATGCTTATTTCGGATTTTAAGATCGTTTTGTTGATTAAAACTGTTAACCCTTTTTTGTGGGAGAGGTACTTGGATGAAGTGGACCGCTATTGTCCATTTTCGAACCTGACATTACACTGATGCAAATATTAGGATATGTAAAGTTGGAGCAAAATCGGGTTATCCTTTCTTATTCTGTGCAATAAATTATTTTCTTTGAAACTGTAAACATTTTTTGTGGGAGGTAACAGAATTGCCCATCTCCGAACTCGATCTCAGTTTGACAATAATATTGCAATGTGCCATGTTTGGATCAAATCAGATACTCCCCTCGATGGTTATCGTGCGCACCAGCCAGCCAGACAGACGGACGGACATCGCTAGATCGACTTCAAATGTCCTGAAACGGATTTGGTCCAAAGAGACTTAGGGTCTAAAACCGTTATTTCGATGAGGCACGTTTTGGCCGAATCAAATTACCCTTTCTAGCCATATGTCTGAGGGTATAAAAATGAATAATATTACCTTTTATTTCATAAATTGAACCTTTTAGTCATAATTATTCAACAGATATTAGAAATTCTTATTTTGTTTTCGTTGGGTAATGAGCAAGAGAGATATATTTCCAAACATATATCATCATGACATATTGTTCTAATTTCGAACTTTCTTTTATGTACTCACTATAAAATTCACAGGTTACTGGGAAAGGTTTCAAAGGTCCACTACCATCGACATCAATTTTAGTTGTTACACGTGACGAAACATGTTGAACATTCTTGAGAGCTTGACAGGACAGAGGATTATTAGCTAAACAAAAAAACGAAAACCAAATGAATATTACAAGGAAGGGAACGGAGGGAAAAATAACATCCTTACAAGTATGGCACACCGCGCCAGCATATCCCGTATTGTCACAATCACAGAAGAAATCAGTAGAATCTTGATGACAAGGACCATTATGTTGACAAGGATTTGGATTACAGCGATCTATCATTTGACAGGCATCAACAACAACCTCATCGCCACAACACACTTCTTCACCTTGAACCCAGTCCTTGGGTAGTTTGTAGTTACCATCGACCAGAATCAAACGCATACATCCCACAAAGCCATTATTCTTCTCCATACCTCCGGCAATGTAATATAAACGTCCAGTGGATATTTGTATATTCTTTGTTGTGGCCATTGGGCGTTGATCAATATCCAAAACAAGACGATTACGTTGTATGGTCAGGACAAAGGCATGCCATTTGCCATCATTGAACCTTTCATCATAATTATCCAAAATGATGCGTGGTTTATCTGCCAGTTTAAGATCAACCTTGACTTTGCCCTTTTCCAAGAAGACACGAACATAACCGCCGTTAGCAAAATCATGATGCAGCATCATTCCCTCATTTTCATAGGTACGGAAATAGAAAGACACATTCAGAGACTTTTGGCCTTCATAGCCCTTCAGACGTACAAATGAACCACGTGTGGTAAATGTCACAGGATAGATGGGTGGTGAGGGACAGGCGTACACTGTGTTGATTTTGCTAAAGCGATAAAATTCTCCACGTTCATGCTGATCCTTCATTTCTCGTATGAAATTTGTAGAATTGAAATAGATATTCTCCATGCAACCGGTGTAGTTTTGTGTAACATAAATGCCTTCCTGAATATTTGGAACGCCTCCCAAATACAATTCACGATTTAAATTCAAACGACTAAATTCTCCTTTTATGCGGCCACGAACTATTACACGATCAACCGAAAAGATGATGTCGCGACGATTACGAGATATAACAACGTCATGCCAGACATTATCGTCTAAAAGGCTGCCCACAGACAGGGAAGTCATAATGCCACCACCCAAATCTAAATTCAATACCATTTTATTTTCCATCAGCTGCAAGGCGAAGTAATCACCCTGAGTACCACGGGAATACATCATGATACCATTGGCATTGGCTGTCTTAAAACGGAAACGTATAGATTCACGAGTTGAGGCAATTGGATCTTGCATCAAATTGTAGCGTATCAAACCAGTGCCGTTGAAGTATAGATTTTCAGCAACTAAAAAACAAATAAGAAAATATTAATTTAAAATTATCACAGACAAAATTGAAAATTGAAATTACCATAATCACAACCGTACAGTTCAACTCGCATTGAAATGCGATCATGCCAACGGGTGGGATTGATACGTATCCACTGAGCAATAATGGGTACTTCAAAGACATTATAATGTATTGAGTTTCCATCCGAGTTGCCTTTGAACATCTAAATTGGGGGTAATCAAAAATAAAAAACAAGCAATTAGAATTGCATATATATATTTAAAAAACATTGTTAATAACACAAGTATTATAGAATTACCATAACCAGCAAACAGAGTGGGTGTTAATTTTTAACCTTTAGACCTTTCTCAACTTAAGTAAATCATAATTTTTGTTAAGAAATCCAAAAATATGAGCTACGGGTGAGTTCGAGTACGTTTAGCGCAACACAAGCGTTCACAACAAAAAATTTAAAAGTCGAAAATATGACATTAAAGAAGCTGTTGTGCATTCCCTTTGAAAAGCATCAAAATTGTTAGTTATCAAAACGACTTGAATTTTTTAGAGGGTGACCTTAGAACAGACCTATGTGTTCACACAATGTGAGCAGAGTAAGGCCTATACAAGAATATATATTTTTGGGGTAAATCTTTTAAATATTGTTAGACCCTCGGTGTTATTATCTATCGCATCTCGACGTATAAACTGTAATCACTATACCGATCTCAATTATGGCTCCATCCTTTTAGAGGGTGATCTCAGAGCAGACCTATGTGTTCACACAATGTGAACAGAGTAAGACCTATATAAGAATATATATTTTTGGGGTAAATCTTCTAAATATTGTTAGACCCTCGATGTTATTATCTATCGTATCTCGACGTATAAATTGTAACCACTATACAGATCTCAATTATGGCTCCATCCTGTTGAAATTTAACATGCTGTCAACGCTGTGTTCAAATTATTGAGAGTATGGAATAGACCAAAAACGAAATTTTTTAGGAAAGTGAAACGGCAATTTCGTTCATTTCAATATAGGACGCTTATTTCACATTTTACGCAAATTATTATTATTCCAATTTCTAATACTTTGTTGTGAAAATATCAGAAAGAGTGGTACTTGCTATACCCCATTGTTATACCAGATCTTGTGTTGGTAGAAATTTTTGATATGTTCAAAGATTGAAAAAAATCGAAAGAAATCTAAATTCAGCGGATCCTGCGTTAGTTAAAATAATGGTATGTGTGAAATTTGATGAGAACCGGAAGCGTATTTCGGATTTTATAATCGTTTTGGTTATTCAAAATTTTGACTTTTTGTTGGGAAGGTACCAGAAAAAATGGTCCGATCTCTACCATCTTTATGAGAGATCTTGTGTTGATAGAAATAGGAGGGGACCAATAAATATACTCCATCTTCATACCAGACCTTGAGTTCATAATAACTAAGAGTTATAATTATTCAAAATTTTGACCCATTGTGCGTGAAATACTTGATGGAGTGGACCGATATTGTCCATTTTCACACCTGACCTAGAACTGATGCAAATATTAGGATTTGTAAAGTTGGGGCAAAATCGGTTTACCATTTCTCTTTCTCGACCGATACTCGATCTAAGTTTGATAATAGTTTTACGAGGTACCAAGTTTGGACCAAATCAGATACCCCCTTAAAGAGTCATCGTGCACACCAAAGGATTTGGTCCAAAGAGGCCTAGGGTTTAAAACCGTTATTTCGGTGAAGCACGTTTTGGCCGTATAAAATACCCTAGCCATGCGGCTGAGGGTATAATTAAATGATATATAACCTCTCTAGACATATGGCTGGGGGTATAAAAATCGGATACTCCCTTTGAGATTTTCCACACCTACGGACGGATCGGCTTCCAATGACCTGAAACAGGAATTTCTATTTTCTAATATTGCAACTGCTACGAAATTTTGGATGTACTCGCGGTTTCGGTCAAAAAACCAAGCTAACCTTTGCATAACTTTATGACATTATTATGTCAAGAATGAAATGGAGCAGAAATATACATATGCATTAAATATAAAATGTTTTTCTTGCCTAAGTGGTTTTCTGGAAATTGTCATTGTTTCATGAGAATTGTTTTAACGGAAGAACGTAATAATGACAATATCTAGTCTTTATGCACTTTGATATTAATAAATACATTTTGGGATTTGTTTCAGTATGACGTTTCGTGTCGTCATCATTTCAAAATTTAGTATTTATCTCCGAGAAATAAAACATAAGAGAAACTTATTTGGAATGAAGTTTTTCTTTCGCTTTGCCATAAGGTATAACACGATTAACCTCTGCAGTCTTTGCTTACTCGTTTATTCCAGTAATTGCTTGGAGGTAATATATCATATGAATGTTTTAGAGGATCTGTATAGAGGGATGTGGGGAGCGAATATAAAAATAAAATCCTAAAAATAACATGTGCTAGAAATCAACAACAACTTAACAATTAAAGGACAACACAAAAAACTATAAAAACTGGGAAAATATTGAATATAATTTTTTTTATTTTATAAACATTTACCTGTGGCTCACTTGACGGATTAACATAGGATCGCCAATATTCACCATCATCAGAATATTGTACAATATATTCCGTAACAAACTCATTAGTAAATGAACGTCCCATTGAAGCAATTTTACGTACAGTGCTCTTATAGCCCAAATCAATGGTTAGGAAGTGATTGTAAGTATTTTCAACCGGAGTCCATGCCGAATTACCTTTAGTGATTTATTGTTTTTGTCATTGGGGTGACACAATGGGTGAGTAGTGATAGCGAGTAGTAAGTGATTATTCGAATGGATAAATGGTTATGAAAGAGAATGTTCGATTAGGTTTTGGGAAAATAAGGTTAATAAGGAAGATGTATTCAGTATGTTATAATGGCATTGGTTAGTTACTTTGCGACTATTCTAAGCAGCTACATATGAAAATTAAAGATAAAACAAAATTAAAAATAAAATTACATTAAACAACATTTAAAAAGCAAAAAAGTATAAATTTATAAAAAAGAAGTGCAGCAAATAATTGTTTTTAATTTTTTGTTTAATTGGTTATGTTTTAGTTTGTGTTGTTTGTTTTGTTTTGTAATCCTTCACCCTTTTCTTAGCTTTTCAATTCTATTTGTCTTACCTTAATGTTACCACCGGGCTCTTTATAATCGGCAAACTCTAAATCGCTGATACCATAGCTAATGGCATATTCGGTTACAAATTCATTGCTATGCGGCCGTCCTTGCAATGCAATGTGTGTAACATTCTTCACTTCCCCCAGATCAATAATTAAACGTTGATCAAAATCGGAATTTTTTGCCGACCACGATGTACCAGCTATTGTAATGGTTTTTGTTTTAATTTAAAAAAAAATAATAAATTAATAAAATAAAATTGTAAACTAAAAAAAAACATAAAACAACAATTATTTAAAATTTGTGAATTCAGTTCAGTTTTGTAATGCAAAGCAATAATAAAAAAATTCCGTTAAATCTCAATCGTGTCATAATTCGAAGAGTTGAGTGAATCTAGCAATGTATGTCCGCCCGCCTGTTTACATTAAATCGTAATCAAAATATAGGTGCAAATATGGGCCGCGCATCGCAAAATTTGAAATTACTGAGGGCATGGGTCAAAATATAACCTATAATTTTTGGAGGTAATCGTAAATTATTTAGGTGATGATGGCGAATAGACCAGTCACAGTCGATCTACAGGTAATAATTAAAAACTTAAATTGAAGCAGAATTTTGCATGGGATTCAAGGTATAGAAATATATATAAATAAATCGAAATTTTCAATTCCCATTCCCATTATAACGGCAGAGGACGTAAATGCCGGGTGAGATGAAAAAACTGCAACCAACTTCATACTGCTGTCATTTCTAAGCCACCTCCGATAGCCGTTAAAATTATTCCAGTGACAGCTCATTGTTTACAATCGTACAAAAGCATTTTGGTGAGATTTTTCCAGAAAAAAAGTTATTAGTGATGGAATTTAAGCGTGATAGTGTGATTTCTTTATATTTGGCTGGAAAACCACAAGAGACAATCGTTAAAGCACTCCAGCATTTAAATGTGAATAAAACTTTGGTGTCTCGTACCATCGCTGGTTACCGTGATGCTGGTAGCGTAGCCCGACGTCAAGGAAGTGGACGGAAGAAAACAGCAAAGTAAAGAAGCGACTTGATCGAAACCCGAGTCGCAGTGGCCGAAAAATGGCTTGTGAGCTGAACATATCGCAATATTTCATTCGGCAAATATTTTGAAAAATGTGCTCGGGGTAAAGCCAATGAAATTCCAAAAAGTGCAAGTACTTACACCGCAACAGAAAGAAAATAGACTAAAAAGAATTGCTTTGCTTGGCCAAAAGTGGCAAACTTTGGTTTTCTCCGATGAGAAAACATTCATTGCCCAGCATTTTGTAAACAAACAAAATGATCGTGTTTGCTTGCCAAAGAGGTCAGCTGAAAATGTGTATCTTCGGTTGGCCACCAGAACTCAAGCGCCGGCTATGGTGATGGTGTGGACCACCAAAACAGCCTATGGTCGCTCCCCGCTCGTATTAATCGACCGTGGCATCAGAATAAATGCCGAATATTATCGCGAAAATATTCTGGAGGGTGTACTAAGGCCTTGGACACGCAAACATTTTGGCCGCAGACCTTGTACATTCCAACAGGACTCAGCACCATCGCACTCAGGACGTGCCACCCAAGAATGGTTACAAAATGAGGTTCCTCGCTTCATTTCCAGCGCACAATGGCCACCAAAATCTCCGGATACCAATCCGTAAGACTATTGTGTCTGGAGTATTTAGGAAAGCAAGGTTGGCACTAAAAAATACCAAAGTGTCGATCACCTCAAGCAAGCGCTTCGCCGGGAATGGCCCAAAATATCGCAGAACAATATTCGGGTAACGTACAATATTTGTTTGAAGGCCATAATTCGTGCCAAATATGACAAATTAGAACAAATCTAAACTTATTCTAAAATTTGATGCTATTTCCGACATTTTTCCTTTCATTCAATAAAATTTGAAAAAAATGTAAAAATTATTCGACTTTGTTGCAGTTTTTTATCTGGAAGAACGAGGGAGGGTTATTGGATTTGGTTCAAACTCTGCAAATCCTAATATTTGCATCAGCGCTAGGTCAGGTGAAAAAATGGACAATATTCCTCACACAAAAAGGGTTACAATTTTGAATAATCATGACTCTCAAAATGTGTGACTCAAATGAGTCCGAATATCTTCAAATTTCATACATCCCAGCATTTCTAACAACTTTAGACGAGATAGAATTTTGAATGATTAAAACACTTTTAACATACGAATCAAGATTTTGAATTATAAATATCATAAAATGCAAAATAATTCACTGAAATTTTCTTAACTTCGAATAATGCCATACTATGGGCCTACACCATCTGGTTCTTCCCCACAAAGGATCAATATAACTCTCATAAATGGCGAAAATATTTCCCAGCCCCCTTCATTCCTTTCCAAAAAATCATCAATCAAAAAGGACGTCGCAAAACAATGATTCAAAATTTCATTGTTCTTAATTTTTACTGAAAGACACATTTTCAACACATTTATGAATTAATGAGGCTAATCAATTATAGTGCCCTTCCCATGACATCCAAATGAACGTGTGTGTGTGTGGGCCGATGGGGTTGACTGTCGCTAACACATTGGGAACACTAATTTGTTCCGGTCAATAGGGCAATATTTACGAAGCATAAACACGCCAACGCGCACAATGACAGGAATAGTTTTATTGTAAACTAGATTTGAGTGGGTGTTTTTATTCCTTTTATAACAAATGCAGTTACAAAACTACGACACTTCTGATTCAAAAATTTCACAATAAAACGTGACCAAACAAAGGACAACTAAATGGACAAAACACCACACAAATGTAAAGATGGACATACTCCACACACATCAAAGATGAGTCCTTCTTTGCCAAACCCTATGGGGTCACTTGGTTGAAACTGTCTATCTGTTGGTCGGTCAAGGTGAAATCAACAATTTAAAATTAATTACCACCGTTATTATCAAAATGCAGGCGGCGGTACTAAATTTTATGGTGAACAATTTAAATGTTATCTAAAATCTCCCCGGTTAGCTAAACAAAGCAAACATCGTCTGTCCCTAGAGTTGTATTGTAAAACAAACAAGGGTTGTAAATACTCCATGTTGTCCTTCGTACTACAGGACACATGCACTTTGTTGCTTGTTAACCGGAGGGTTGTGTGCCACTTTAGAATATCGAAATATGTTCGAATGCACTCGAGCAAGCTTGTTATTTTATTTATTCAACCCTCTTTGAAACCCTGATTGTGGATTTTGAGAAATGATTGTTGTTTGGAAAGATCGACAAACGTTCTCTTAAAGGGGAAACAAACGATGATTTGAAGTGTAATTGAAAAAAACTATAGAGCAAATTAATAACAACAATATATTTGGGACCTATATTCATACACGGTCGTTGCCCAGTTATGGGATCAGCAGATGTTTTTTTTTTTTAATTCAAAAGAATAAAAATATTATGTACCCGCCAGTTAGAGTTATTATATTCAGGTGTGTTAAAGATAAGTTGACAATTTTAGTTAAATTGTACGCTAACCCACAAGACGAAGAATATACTTTAATTTATCATTCCGTTTCCAACAACTGGGTGTAAAGAATATGTAATCGTGAAAACGAAATTGGGATTATAATTTTCAAGATAAATTGTACATAGATGTTTGTAGTGCTTCTTAGGTATTTGGTTTTGAAAAAAAATCCTATATCGGTTTAGGCATATTTTCCAAACAATCATAACTCCTAATTATTAGTAATTCACAGGTCTTAGCCCCGATTTCCAACCAAATCAGCTGCATTATGATATTTCGAGTTCTCAGAGGGCAGTTTAGCTTCTTCCACAAAAGAAAAAATAAATAAAAAAAGGAAGCAAAATGTGGACAAGCGAGTTCAACTCCGCCCCCGCTTCCGAGACATAATGAAAACAAGTGAAAAGACATTAGGTTCGGCCATGCCGAACTTCTAATACCCTCCACCATTGGGTAAAGAAAACATTTTTATGCAAAAGTATCTGGATTCAAACGTGTTCCACTTTAAACTACAAACTCCAGTAAGATTGTTAGGAGAATGATTGGAGCCGTTATATGGGGACCGTACAAAAACCCATTATAAAGTAGAAGAAATATCAAAATTCACACAAATCTATTAAAAATGTGGGTTAAATTGTGAAAGTGACGAATATCCGATAAAACCGATATATGTGCACTATAGGAAAACGTTGACCTAGATATTAAAAGTTCTGCCACTGGAAGTAGAACCAATTAGAAAAATGTATGTAAAACCATCAAAATACCAAATATTGGTACGGGTATACGGGGGCTATATGAAAACGTGCATCTATATGTACACTGTTTCTCCGTCGGATCTAGACCCCATTACGAACTACAAATAATATTTTTAGACAAATTCATTGACAAATGTGGTAAAAATCATAAAAATACCGAATGTCGGGAGGTACCGTTATATGGGGGCTATATGAAAACGTAGACCTATATGCACCATGTTCCGCCACTAGAGCAAGAACTCATAACGAATTACAAATACCAATTTTTAGACAAATCCCTGAAAAATGTGGCTAAAACCATCAAAATACCGAATGTCGGGAGGTACCGTTATATGGGGGCTACACGAAAACGTGGACCTATGTATACAATGTTCCGCCACTAGAGCAAGAACGCATAACAAACTACAAATACCAATTGTTAGACAAACTGGTGGAAATATGTGGCTAAAACTATCAAAATACCGATTATCGGGAGGTACCGTTATATGGGGGCTACCCCAAAACGTGGACCAATATATCTAATTTTCAATACCAACCATACTATACACAAAGCAAACAACGGTGGCAAATTTTGAAGCTCTACGTCAATTAATGTGAGCTGTATCGTGAGTTCAACACACGGACAGACATCGTTAAATCGACTTAGAATTTTTTGCTGATCATAAATATATATGCTTTATCTATGACGAATATTTAGAGGTGTTACAAACGGAATGAAAAATTTAATATACCCTCCTTTCCAAGGTGAAGGGTACAAAAAGCGGGTATAAAATCGATGAGAGGAGGAAGTATTGGGAATGAAGTTTTGCTATATCTACATGACACGTTAAGCAAAATTTGTTAATGGACATTATTTTTAATTAATATTGTTGCTTGGGAAAGCTAAGGAGAAATCCCCAAGCTGGCGTGTCAACAAGCTGTAAACTCGGCTTAAAGCAAAATATTTCAAATATTTGTTTTTGGGCAAAATGATGGACAAATCTGCAAATCCATGGTTTTTATGGTTTTTGGAAATACAGCCAACTACTTCCGTACATATTACAGAATACTAAACATCAAATCACTGCCTATTTGCGTCAAATTGGGCCATGAAATTTTAGATGTTGGGATTATCAAAATATGGACATACTAATAATTAGTAATCAAGCAATCTCCTTTTCTTGACATAAGGTTTACATAGTAGATTCTTTTCTTTTTCGCCTTCTCTTTAACGCTGACAATTCTTCTAATCACAAAAATGTTCAATGCATTCTTCGTTATATTATTTTTAAACGGGCTTTGAATACAAATTTGGTTTGTTTTAATTTACCAAATTTCCCAACCAACCCTCGTCTTAGTAATTTGTAAGTAATAAAATAACGCAACCTAAGTTGAATTGCTTTAAATTGTTTAGCGGAAAGGGGTGTGAAAGTAAAATGGTCACAAACTAAATGCATACCTTAACAGTAAAGAATGGAAAACAATTATTTCGGGAATACACAAAACTGCAAGCCGTCAACCACCCAGGAGCGCAGTAAGCGCTGGCCACAAAAATAAAAAAAAAAAAAAACAAAAGTGTATTTGTGTCAAAGAATAGTACTTCTGCCACCGTTTATTTTTTACGCATTCTAAGTTAACCACTAAATATTGTAAACGTTTTAGAGTGACAATTCAAAGAAAAGCAAACATGGTTAACCAGATTAATGCAATATCCAGTGTTAAAGAAAGGGTGAAATTAAATGAAGCATAAAAATGGATTGTTTTCTTTATTTCTTTGGAAGCCATTTAAAAGCTATGCGGCATGGCGTTTATTTTTATAAGAAGCTTGTGTGATTTTACATACAACATATAAATTATAATAATAGATCCCCTGCTTACAAAGTCGGACCCCTTTTAAGCATTAAATGAAAGTGACATGTATTTAAAAAATGTTCTTCTGACATGGGAAAATTATTATGTTCAAAATCTTATTATGGGACAGCTTTTTATTTTTTAAAGAAAGAGGAATAGTTTTCTTCCTCTCTTTTTGCAGTTTAAAATTTTATTGTATTAATCACAGCATGAGATAGACTTTATTACCGACGTGTACAATATGTTTTAGGGATTTAAAAATCAAGAATAGAAGGATCATTAAAGCAGAAAGACAAGATTTAGCAAACCATTGTCATCAACACATTTCTTATTTGACTTAGTTTTTAAAATGCAACCCTTATTCTACATAATAGTCAAAACTTCATAATTAACAATGGGTGTTTTTAATAACGTATAGGTGACAATCAGCAGAATATTAATATAATCTTAAACCCGACGTAAAAATGAGTTGAGGTACAATTTCACCGCTGTTAAGTTCTAAATGTTATTTTTTGCTTTTGAGGACATTAATTTTTCAAAAGGCTTCTTATTAATTTCCAACCCTATTTTTTCAATAATTCTTTTTGGGAATTTGTTAGTTTTATTTTTTAATGCATTAATTAAAATATCTTACATAAATATGCCTTTCATATAAATGTTTATGTATATTTACGAAGCCTATAAATTTAATAATAAACAAGTCTATTGTCATGGTGATTACAAACAAAATTTACATTTTACTTGTAAAGTTCATAGGAAGAAAGATATTTATTGCATTTAACTGTAATTCCTATGTCTTATAGAAACAAAATAAAAAATATATAGATCCAAAATGTATACAAGTTAATTTCTAAATCTATTTAAAAGTAAACAAAAATAATAAATGAATAAAATCTCATTTCATGGGTTTCCTTAAAACTTCTCTACAGTAGTCTACAATATTAGGGCTTTCTGCTTGCTCGTTAGGTCGCAACAACTCGTCTATTTTCAGATATGTGAAATTTTCTACTTTTTCCGGTTTATAGTTGCGAAATGCAATAGCTGCACAATATTTCGGATGTAACATATGTTCTTCAAAGTAATAATTAAACATGGGTACATCATTACATTTCATAGTTGTGCCACTCAAAGGTGGAGATTCAACAAGCAGTTCTCTACTGGAGTCAACCGTAAATGCAATCTTTTGCAAATCGATTGTTATGCCTACACCCAATTCTTTAACATATGACTCCTTCAAGCACCAATGACGCATAAAGGCTTTTAGCTGCTGTTGCTGGTTGAAATGCGGTTGGTTTATGAAACGCCATTCTGAATCGGCAAATTTACGATTCATAATGCGAAAAAACTCTTTCAGATCTTTACCACCAGCATATTCTAATTTCATGACATCACAGCCAATGCCGAAATCATCTTCGTCTTTGTGTGTGCTTTCGCTTGAACTGACGTTCTGCATCCCCGCCAGTATCACAAAGTTACCTTGGTGTGATACATTGAAGCACAAATGATGACGTTGAGACGTTTGTTGGTCATCTTCATTGTTGGTCTGTACCCAATACGGCTTGCCCCTAGCATCTCGTGCAAATTGAACCTCATGGTAGGGCAAGTGTGAACATTGACTCACATATTTACGCATAAGTAAGCGACCAACTAATGACGAAAGAAAATCATTAATAAAATAAAACTTTAATAAACGAGCTCGTTCCTCTGGTTGTATTGCAGCCACCGCCTGTGTCAGTTGTGTTAAAGTGGGTGACCAAGTGTTCAAGTCAAAGGCCCAACGGGTGGTTTTAATTTGCAGTTTTGAGGACATAGCACGTGTATGTTTGTAGGTGTTTTTCCTAAACGCTAGTCGGACATCGGAATTCTTATTTTCAATGTCTTTTGTGGTAATAGAAAAATGTTTTCAACCAGAAATCAACATTGGAATGTTTTTGTTGTTTACACAATGCAAAAAGATAACCAGAGCAATTGACGCAATTGACAGAAACAGTGCTGCCAACCATTTTGTTTCCCATCATATGTTTTTGATTTATACCGTAAAAGTAACGCACAACTCGTTAAATGTTTACATCAGTTATACAGAACGTAACGTAACGTGACGTTTTTTTTATTTAAGTAAAGGTGAAGGATTGATATATTGTTGAGATTTAAATTGAGAAACATAAAAAGTATTTATCTATTGGAAGCAAAATTCAATCAAAATGATAACTAACTATAAATTATTATGTTTAAACAAAATTAAGGAAAAGTCTAAAAATTAAAATTCGGTACAAAGTTTTAAAATACAAATATAATAAATGCAAAGAAAATTAAGAAATATAAATGTTTAGGAAATAATACGAATATTAGGACCTTCTGAATGAAATGTTTTGCGAATACTGATAAAACAATCTTCATTTAAAATCGCACAAGCATTGCAATTTTGTAGGATTCAGTCGCAAAATATTGCTGAACACAATCAATTTTTTCATGGGGACAAAACTACACATTCAGGATTTCCTCGAATTGTTGTTAATTTTAAAATAACCGGACCTCTTTGGAAATGTATGTACACTTATTCCTAAAAATTACAATTATACGTACTATGAGCTCTTATTTATCGGATAAATAGAGATGAAGTTTAAAATCTCAATAACTCACAATTTTATCGTCTTCCAATGTAGAGGAATTTCTATGAAATTTTAGGTAATCACTTTCAGTGGAAAAGAGGTACGGTACCGATCCCTTTACTTCCAATATTTAAACATTTAGTTTTCTTTCTTACTTATCTAATTTTTCACAACTTGAGAGCCATTATCAGAAGCTTACGATAAATCATTTTTTTTATTTTTGCAAGAATGCTTTTATTAAATCTGTTCGTTAAAAGACAAAAAAGAGGCATTACTATCCTGTTAAAAATAACGGCAACCTGAACATATGACAATCACATTTTATTATTTATATACAGGGTGAGATGAAAAAACTGCAACCAAATTCAGACTGATGTCATTTCTAAGCCGCTCGTCCGACAGCTGTTAAAATTATTCCAATGACAGCTCATTATATTGTTTACAAGCGTACAAAAGCATTTTAGTGAGAATTCTCCAGAAAAAAGTTATTCGTGATGGAATTCAAGCTTGATAGTGTGATTTCTTTATATTTGGCTGGAAAACCACAAGTGGCTATCGTTAGAGCACTTCAGCATTTAAATGTGAATAAATCTTTTGTGACTCGCACCATCGCTCGTTACCGTGATACTGGTAGCGTAACCCGACGTTAGGTAAGTGGACGGAAGAAAACAGCAACATCAGCAGAAATGATTCGAAAAGTAAAGAAGCGACTTGGTCGAAAACCGCGTCGCAGTGGCCGAAAAATAACCCGTGAGCTGAACGGGGTAAAGCCATTAAAATTCCAAGCAGTGCAAGAACTTACACTGCAACAGGAAGAAAATAGACTCACACGAGCTAAAAAGTTGCTTCGCATGGCAGAAAGTGGTGAACTACCGAATTTGGTTTTCTCCGATGAGAAAACATTCGTTGTCCAGCAGTCTACAAACAATCCTTGCCAAAGAGGTCAGCTGAAAATGTGCACCTTTGGTTGGACACCAGAACTCAAGCGCAGGCCATGGTGATGGTGTGGGCGGCTATAACAGCCGATGGTCGCTCCCCGCTCGTATTATTCGTCCGTGGCATCAGAATAAATGTGAATATTATCGCGATAATATTCTGGAGGGAGTATTTTGGAAGGCGATCACCTCAAGCAAACGCTTCGCCGGGAATGGGCCAAAATACCGCGGAGCAACATTCGGGCAGCGTGTGACAGTTTCATTGGGCGTTTGAAGGCCATAATTCATGCCAAAGGTGACCAATTCGAACAAATCTAAACTTATTCTAAAATTTGATGCTATTTCCGACATTTTTTGCTTTCATTCAATAAAATTTAAAAAAATGTAAAAATTATGGCGTTTTACTTTGTTGCAGTTTTTTTCTCACCCTGTATGTATTAAATTTAATTATTATCTCTCCCAACTTGTCGACTCTTCTTCCAAACCTTTTAAACCTTTTAAGAACCTTTTTAACAGAATACATGCTGTAACAACACAATTTTTTGGATGGAAAAATTCGTCCCATTTTTGTAAAATTGACTAATAATAAACAAAAAAAATTACATCTAAACAATTGAACAAAGGCTTTTCCTATTGTATACAAGTAATTTTGATATTATGTTCTATGTATAGCTAAGCTACATATTTCGGCTATAAATACTTCAAAATAAAAAAAATCAATGAAATACATCTTTAATTTAAAAACTGATAACATTCATACATCAACACTTTGATATTAACGAATAATTAACAAAAAAGAAGGGGAAAATGTGAAATGTATCAATAAATGATTAAAAAAAGTAATAAAAACTGTTTACAAACGCGAATGTAAACAAAATCTGTATCTAATAAAAAAAAAACACAATTATAAAAGCCATTCTATTTCGCATTGTAATGTTAATCAAAATTACAACTTACCATTTAAACGAGCCTTCTCTGGCCCACGATCATTAAGGGCTGAAGTGGCCGATAGACTGGCCTTTTCCATGAGCGGTGTGTTACATTCATAGTCGGAAAAATAGTCACTGTAAGAGTCTGCAAAAGAAAGAAATTGAAAAATAAATTAAAGAACATTCTGTTATTTGAAAGCTGGAAGTTAAATTCAAAAGAAAAATGCTACTGTTCTCGAAATTTTGGAGGGATATTTACAAAAACAAAACTTATAAAAAATGTGAAATCATTTATTATAATTGGCAAATTTTCACAAGTTTTGCCATTAATTTTTCACTAATTTCTGTTATTTCTTTCTTCGATGTTCTCCATGTTCAGAGTGGCCGACCAAAGAAAGACATATGTGTTTCGTCATCTACATCAATATTATTGTTGTTTCTGGCAGCAACCACAGCGGTGGTGATGGTAGGGGTGGTGCCGACGTCATTGAAACTCAAATGAGATATGGCTGTGTTCGCTTTAAAATGATTCTCGTGGTCATATTCTTCGAATGGAGAAACAATGTACTTCTGTCATATTCATCGTCCTCTTCGATGATTTGTTTATATTTTTCATTTGTGCCACTGCTGATGCTTGGCTACTACTTAGTTTTATTGCTATTTCAATAAGCTTCCCTGTCAGACATGTCATGTTACTTTGAGATATTTGTGGAAATTTATTGAAAGGTGAAAAAACCAAGAACAACAGAACATATGGGCACAATCATTTTGCGTGGGCATGGGAAAGGTGGTGAAATTGTTTGTATATGTATGTTGAATTTTTATTTATGTCTCAAATACTTATATACTGCGACACAAAATTAAGAAGAAGTTCTTTAAATATGAAATATTTTACATACACACATTGTACTACAAGTAAAGAAACCCGAGCATCGTTTACCTTTTATTTGGCAAACCGAAAATATAAGATTTCAACTTAATCTGGGAAATACACATTATATGAAAACGTAAACATAACCAATTTTTTCTGATCAAATGCAATTTATTATCTAAAAACGAAAATACAAAATTTAAAATCATTTAATGTATGCCGACAATTTCATATAAAATCTCCTCTTTATTTCAAAATCAAAAGCTATGAAATGCACACATTAAACCGGTGATGTCTGATTAATGACTACAATTACGGAACCAGAAGGATCAGAAACAAAGACAATTGTTTTCTGAGTAAAGTAGAATTGCGCTCTTATAACCCTGAGTCGATGTAGAAAAAGGGCTTCAGAGTGGAACTACTGAGATTTGAATTAAATTAGTTATCGACCATCAGAAGGTTTTATTTCAAGAATTAAACTTCCAAACCAAACACAACCAAAATTTCGACCCAATACCAACTTGGTAGCTTACGAACCGACCTTCAAATGAAAAACTATCGGAGGCACATTTCAGGATGTTTTGATACAACCACCAGATTGTCTGACAAGGGATTGGACCCCGAGGATGGCATTTCACTGTATTGGTAAACTCCATCAACTATTGCATTAGTATGAATGCTATTCAGACCCGCACAATATACTTCCTGATCTCAAGGCTTTCTCTTGTACCGTTGGACATCTCTCTCTCTCTCTAGATCATGGAGGCTTTCTCTTGTAGCGTTGGACATCTCTCTCTCTCTCTAGATCATGGAGGTCCTTTCTGACACGCCTGGGTGGGGGAGTTCTGTCCACCATATAATGGTTAGGATGACTCCCACGGTAACACCCAAACAGGTACTGCATCGATTATGCTGACGTAAGGGAAGAACCTTTTTCGCAGATAGTTGCTTTCGAATGTGACCTCAAGGATTTTGGGGTACTTAGTGGTCGGAATTATGTGCTCCTAGACTTGCACATAAATAAATGTGGTTCAGTTCAAAGATTCGCAGTTACACATCGATATAGTGGGTGTTTAATTGACCATTGTTATCCCATTTTGAGGTCATATATCCCATACTACAGGGTGAAATGAAAACCTGCAACCAACTTCAGACTGCTGCCATTTCTAAGCCACTCGTTCGACAGCTGTTAAAATTATTCCAGTGACAGCTCATTATATTGATTACAAGCGAACAAAAGCATTTTGGTGGGAATTTTCCAGAAAAAGTTATTGGTGATGGAATTCAAGCGTGATAGTGTGATTTCTTCATATTTGGCTGGAAAACCACAAGTGGCTATCGTTAGAGCACTCCAGCATTCAAATGTGAATAAATATTTTGTGTCTCGTACCATCGCTCGTTACCGTGATACTGGTAGCGTAGTCCGACGTCAAGGAAGTGGACGGAAGAAAACAGCAACATCAGCAGAAATGGTTCGACAAGTAAAGAAGCGACTTGTTCGAAACCCGCGTCGCAGTGGCCGAAGAATCGCTCATGAGCTGAACACATCGCAATATTCCATTCGACAAATATTGAAAAAAAGAGCTCGGGGTAAAGCCATTGAAATTCCAAAAAGTGCAAGAACTTACACCGCAACAGAAAGAAAATAGACCCAATAGAGCTAAAGTGTTACTTCGCTTGGTGAACTGCCGAAAGTGGTGAACAGCCGAATTTGGTTTTCTCTGATGAGAAGACATTCGTTTTCCAGCAGTTTGTACAAAAATAACAAAATAATCGTGTTTACTTGCCAAAGAAGTCAGCTGAAAATGTGCACCTTCGGTTGTCCACCATAACTCAAGCGCCGGCCATGGTGATGGTGTGGGCCGCCATAACAGCCGATGGTCGCTCTCCGCTCATATTAATCGACGGTGGCATCAGAATAAATGCCGAATATTATCGCGAAAATGTTCTGGAGGGTGTATTAAAGCCTTGCGCACGAAAACATTTTGACCGCAGACCTTGGACATTCCAACAGGACTCAGCACCCTTAAACTTAGCATGCGCCACCCAAGAATGGTTACAAAATGAGATTCCTCGCTTCATTTCCGCACAATGGCCACCAAAATCTCCGGACTATTGTGTCTGGAGTATTTAGGAAAGCAAGGTTGGCACTAAAAAATACCAAAGTGTCAATCACCTCAAGCAAGCGCTTCGCCGGGAATGGGCCAAAATACCGCAGAGCAACACTCGGAAGGCATGTAACGGTTTCCTTGGTTTGAAGGGCATAATTCGTTCCAAAGTTGGCCAATTCGAACAAATCTAAACTTATTCTAAAATTTGATGCTATTTCCGAAATCTTTCGCTTTCATTCAATAAAATTTAGAAAAAAATTATGGCGTTTGACTTTGTTGCAGTTCTTTTTTATCTCACCCTTTAATGTATAAACATTTTTTCATATTTTATGTTGTTAGATCTATAAAACGGAATTTCTTGGCTTTGCATAACATTGTTGCCATTAGATACATATCAATAATAATAAAAAATAGAAACTTTCAACATAAATAAATGATTGTTGGAACTCTAACAATGCAGATAGGTATATGGAAATGCAGATTACTGGTATTTTCTTATTCTTTTTTGGATATTTGTAGTTGCATTCGTTTGTCGCGTTTGTTGTGTGTGTGTGGGGGGATGGAGATATTTATGCAATATATAAAAGACCAAGGGAGCCATAAAAACACGCTCTTATGTTTGCTGTCGGGAAACATACATAACAACCCTTGAGTTGGTGCACTACAAGATGAACAAGACAAAACCCTTCCATTGTACTTAAAACTGAATGAATGACTGGCTGGCTGGCAGCTTGGTTGGCAGAAGGTGATGTTGGCTTTGGCTATTTACTGGCTAAACAAACAAAAGCCAAAATAAGAAAAAAAGCAATGCGGGCGAGTTTCATAAAAACCACCCTTTGGTTGTTATCCATGGAATACTCCAAAACAGGATTTAAAAGAATTACAAGTGCGCACACACGGTAAGCAGAGCGCACGCTAAAAGTGTAGTATTGATGCAAAAAAAAAAAAAAAAAAAAAACAAATAAAACAATAAACATAAATGTTTTCGTCGCCTTCCTGATTTAGTAGGGAGCGGGCAAAGTGTGGGCTTGGCGGCTACTTGCATTCGATAAAGCAATGCAGACATATTCAATTTGTTTGCTATTTTGTTCTTGGTTACTCTCGTCGTTAGGGTTGGCGGGTGGTGTATATTTTTTCGTCCCCCTTTTTTTCTTGTTGTTGTTTGTTTATAACAACCATTGGAGATCTAGAGCAAAAGTTCAAAGATTCAAGGAACTCTGTTTCTTGTCGTCCTGATTCCTATGACTCTATTTGTTTGTACATGCTCAGTAGTGACTGGTGTGATGTCTATGTTAGTGCTTGTCACGAAAACTTCATGTCTTGACAAAACACGCACAACTCCGTCTTTTTCTTTTGCTAAATAGGACAATTTTCGCATAAAAAGCAGAACTAATTAACAGTTTTTTTCCGATATCATCACTCAATCAAAAAGGGGGTTGTTTTGTGGGTGTTTTAGTGTTGTGGTCACTTGATTGAGGCCAAGTTTATAAATTACCACACAAAAATAATATATTTCAGAAAAGAATTGGTGTAAGTTAAAAAAGTCCTGAATACAACTGGATGTCAATGCAGATGTCACGTGTTATCAATCGAGAGACAAAAGCTATTCTATAGATGGGAAATAGAAACTCTAAAGGCGAGAAAACATAAAACGATTATTTGACGGGCTTAAGACATCGGCTGGCCAAAATCGAACTCAGTCAATCTAAGACTCCTTTGATTCTCTACAAAGAAGCCAGCCGATGACTTAAGCCAGAAAAAATGGTTTTATATATTCTCACCTTAACATTCTTCTCAGACAAAGTTCCCATTATCATATATAATTTTTGAGCAAACTTCGGCAGGATAATTTGTTTTATGCCTAGGATGTTAAATATTGAAAATGATATATATATCGGTCCACGTTTTGGTATAGTCGCCATATAACAGTACCTTCCGATATTTGGGTTTTTTGATGATTTTTGTCACATTTTTCCACAGTTTTGTCTAAAAATTGGTACTTGTAGTTCGTAATGGGTTCTAATTCCGGTGGCGAAACATTCATTTCATTTCATTTATTTACCTTACAAAGAAATATAAATAAGCCCACAGGGCCCATAACTTATATTATCTATCTACAATACCCTAACATAATACAAATTCAATGATTAATTCAAACTTAAC